ACCCATGTCCATATAGGCTCTTCATCACACTCTACACACTCTTACGTAGGGATAGGGGGCCAGGCGGACTAAATGCCTGTGGATTTTGAAATCTAGGGACTTCTGGGAGGATGCCCCCAACTATTTTAAAACATTGCTGTACTGTATTGATTCATTTTGACATAAAATATGCCATGCATAACTTTATGTCAACTCATGCACACATGCACATCTGAGCAGGTGAGACTGCTGCTCCATCCCTCCCCGTGCCTCATGGCTGACTCAGTCTTTCTATACCTTTCACTGGGCCCTTCCCCTGACCTGGTCAAGGAAGCATGTGGTGTCTGAAGTTCCATATATAATGCGCCCAGGGTGTGGAGGTTAAGGGGGCTTAAGCTGAGAGCTTTTAGGAAATGAGGGCTTGTGGCAAAGAGATAGTGCCACAACTGGCAACTGGGTTAAGAACAAGGGATTAGGCACTAAAATCACACTATTGGGGAAACATACATGACAGTTTTGCAACAAATCAGACCTTTCCACCTTGGAAAGCTGAAGCGAATTTGCATACACTTGAACCATGTGACTCATATTTCTTCAGAATCATAGGATATTTGCGTTGGAAAGGAAGTGGAGGGTTTCAGCACAAAGTACCACCTGGGGAATGACAGAGCCAGCACTAGGGCGCAGTTCACTGCACTCCCAGTCAGAGGACTCAGCAGTGCCCGGTCTGTCCTCCCCAGCCCAGGAGTGCTCCCGGCCTGCCCGCCGCTGTCCTCAGCTCCTTTGCAGGCTGTATGAGTTGGCACTCAGGGCTTGTGAACCCAGTGACTGGAACAAACTCCAAGCTTCGTGAGCAGTGGTGTTGACCTCATTGCCCCTTGCTGGCTCCATCCTCACAGCACCTGGCCCGCCCCACCAACCCTGCTGGTGACAGAAGGAGGAAGAGATGCCACTGGGCAGGGAGCAGAGCTGGGCCCATTGCGAGCAGAAACAGACAGCGATCAAGAGAAAGAGGACCGGGGGAGACTAGGGGACCCCAGAAAGACCACTCACTCATAGATGCAGACACACATATGCACAAACACAGCATGCATAACACACACCAAATCACATACGACCCACACAATACACATGTGCACGCTGCACACATGCAAACACACTACATATCATTACACAACACCACACTGCAAATACACCACACACAGCGCACCCAACACTGTGACACTGATGCACACTACCACACACACAACACACATCCTGTATGACACACACACCATGCAACACACTATATGATTATATACAAATATAATAGATAAATATATATGCTGTACATGTATCAAATACCGCACACATGACCACGCACATGTGCACACACACTCCAGCACAGAGACCAAAACTAAGAGAGCAGAGATACACTACACAGTGACAGAGTCAGTAAGAGAAGAAAAACTGGGAAAAACTCAGAAGACAAAGCAGATTTTAAAAAAAGAGAGAGAATAGCAGAAAATATACGTCTATGTGTATGTACATGTGGTTTGAGGCCCCAAATTAGGGTTCTCAATAGAGGATGACTTTTGTCAAACAGAGGACACTGGGCAATGTTTAAAGACATTTTTGGTTGTGACAATGGAGGGGAGGGACATGCCACTGTCACCTAGCAAATGGAGGCTCAGATGCTACTAAACATTCTGTAATTCCTAGGTTAGCTCCACAGGAAAGATTTATTTGTTCCAGAATGTCAATAATAATTCCCAGGTTGAGAAATAAGTCCCAAAACGCAACAGCTCCTATGCCCCCAAGCAGGGCTGTGGCCCAGCACTGTGGGGACTGACACGTGCACACACACCTTTTCAACAGTCTCTGGCCTTTTCAACAGTCTCTGGGATTAGCTGTGTGGGCAGCCCTGGAGGGGGCCAGTCCAACTCTGGGGCTCCAGTGAATCCTGAGGACCTAACTTTTACTAAGACTAGCGACTGAGACTCAGCCTGAAGCAGTGAGATCTGGTTAGAGCCACCCTCTCCCCCTCTCAGGTCAGCATGATCTAGATCTGTCTTCCCTCCTCCAAGTCTGGATTCCAACAGGTCTCCCTGGGCCTTGGTCAGCACCATAAGAAGATCAGGGCAGACTAGATGTCTGTCTGTAAGCTTATCAACAGTGACTTGCTCCATGTAACCAAAGCCTTCTTGAATTTGGAGCTTGGGGGAAGGAGGTTGGAGAGGATGTGACGACAAGTCTCATGAGATGAGGTGGCCCTGTGACTGCCCTCCCATGAGTTCTAACCTCCTTTCATTCCCCTAACCCCCAATACTCCTTGATTTGAGGTCACAGAACAAGTTGTTCCTGTGTTCTTTTGGGAGGTGCCCCCCAGGGTGGTGGCACAGGCCTGGGAGTAGGGAAAAGAGTTGTGACCTTTCGAGGAAGGAGGAGTTTCAGACTATCCTTCCTGTTCCCTGGGACCAGCCAGCTGGGAAGGGACAGGGAATGTAGTTTCCAATGTGAGCATGGACATGGATAGGGGTGCTGGTTTGAGCACCTTGGGAGCTGCCCACCCCACAGCCCACCCTCCCTGCTGACCAAGCACACACAGCTGGGTGTGGGGCCGGAGAGCATTGCTGCCTGAGCTTGTACTCCCAGTGCTCACTTTCCCCTTCCTTACAACCCCACGTTGGGTCTGTGCTCAATTTTCCACATGTGGGCTAAACATAAAAAGGCAACACCAGCAGGGAAGCCGAGAGAGAGAGAGAGAGAGAGAGAGAGAGAGAGAGAGAGAGAGAAACAGTCTCCCACTCCAGGAGGACAAACACTCATGGCTTATCTCCTCCCCACCAGGGACCAGCCTGGGGTCTTTGTCTAGAGCTGAATAGGACAGAGGTGGGTGGGTCGGCAAGCAGACAAATGCTGGTTAATGGGCACAAAGGTCCTAGGTTCAAGGTTTGGATCCGAGTGCCACGCCCCCCCTCAGCTTGAACCCACTGACCCATGTGGGTGGGGAAGGCCCTAATCAGCTGCTGTGTTTGCTCAGGGCTGTGTGGCCTGGCCCCCGGCCCGGCAGCAGCACACAAGCCGCTTTCCTTTTGAAGCGGCCCCTCTACTTCGCATCCCGCTCTGCGTGCCCCACACCTGAGACACCTGAGACTGCCCACACCACACACGCCATGTACCCCACATGCACATACGTGCCTTTAACATACAGCACACATCACACGCCACGTGCACTCTGCAGACACACACATGTACAACACACACACCCACATCACACGTTCTGTCATAGACACCACATACACACGCCACACACACACATACACATACCACATTCACCACATACACACACCACACCACAACATACATATTCATACACGAGACACACCACGTACACCAGATATATCACACACGACACATACATTACACCCCCCCACAGCATACATGAACAACATATCACATACCTCACATGACACACACATACAACACACACCACATGCACCACACACACATATAACACACCTGTATCACACACAATCGCCACATATACACACAACACATACATACTATGCACACCACTCACACAACACACAGGTACACACTTGCTGTCCACATACCACCCACACACTCACACACCCGCTCCCTGGACCATCCTACTCTGAATCAGAGACAGGAAAACACTGAGTTGGGAGCTAAGTAGCTAACCCCTACGCCTGTCTCTGATCACCCGGCAAGATCACCCGGCAGCTGCAGCCCTGCTGGGCATCCCTGGCTGGTGGCAGGGGCAAACTAGAACCTCTGCTTCTTTCCAGCAGGAAAGGCGAGCTACAGGACTTTTAGGATGGCTTCCACCAAGTTCCGTGCTGAGGAGGACAGGCTTGTGCTGTGGAGTGTCACTCCTTGGCATCACTGTGCTGGTCACTTTGCCTCTGCCGAGCTCTGTGCCCGCTGGGTGAGTGCGTGTGGCAGGAGAAAGAGGGTGGGCTCAGAGTTGAAGTGTACTTGAATCTTGTCTCTGCCACCTCTGCCACCTCTGTGACTTGGGAGATTTACTTTACTGCTAACACCTGTCTCACAGGTTTGCTGTGGGTTTACGTGGGAACTCAGGTCAATGGCCCAACACACCATAGGAAATGAATAAATGCTTCCTCCCCTGGAAGGTTGACAAATAAAATATTTGGACAATTTGGAACTTATTTACACTAAAGAAATTCTTTGCTGCTTACCTAAAATACAAATGTGAGTGGCTGCCCTGTATTTCTCTGGCACCCACCATGTCTGTGTCACTGAAGTGGATCTCTAGGGCTCCAGAGAAGGGGTCTGTCTGCCTGCCTACAGCTACATTTTATGCACTGGCTGGAGATCTAAGAGTGGATTTTACATCTTGTTAAAAAAACAAGCAATGATAAAAAAAAAAAGAAAGAAAAAACATTAGAGACTATATTGGCTTGCAAATCCTGAAATAATTTACATGTGCTGTCTGGTCCTTTCCAGAAAATGTTTGCTGATCTGAAGTTGGTGGGAGGAGAGTTTGGGAGAACTAGGGATTTTCACTCTCTGTGTACCAATTCTGGGCCAGGCAAGGGATCAAAGTGGCAGAGCGGAGAAAATTCAGGTCTCTGGGACATAAGCAGGGGGAAGCCCAGACAGTGGAGAGGAAAGAGGTGGCCGAGAAGGCAGAGTGAGGACATGGGGCACATACACGGGCCCTTCCAGCCTGGGAATGACTGCCCTGACTGACTCTTCCCCCTGCCCTTGATGTCTGGAGCCTCTCAGGCTATCCTGACCTGTCCAGGCCTTTCCAGAGGTCACCCCAAGTCCTGGCCAATCTCTTTGGAGGCCTTCCCTACCCAGCAGTGACGGGCTTGGAGGCAAGGAGCCAGGCCTAGGTGGAGAGAGAATTGGGGTTGACGCAAGGCCCCCATAGTAGGCAGGTCTGTGGCCTGTCTCTTTAAATCTCAGGTAATTTGGGAGGAGGGAGGGAGTGTCTGCAGCTCCTGCTCACTCCCAGCAGCAGCTCCACAGGCGAGCCCAGCAGAGTCCTGGCTGGCTCTGCTGAGTGTAACAAACCCAGAGCCCTCTCCAGACTGGCTGGGGCGGCCACCAGGAGACTCCCAGGGAACTCAGCCCGGAGGTGGGAGACGGGACCTCTACAGAGAGAAGACAGGCCGGCCCTTGGGGGAGCCGATGTGGCCCCAAGACTGAGTTCAGTCAGGCTCTGGCCTTGGCCTCAGTCCCCCAAGGAGCCGGCCCTACACCCCATGGGGTTATCACTGCCCAAGGAGAAGGGGCTAATTCTCTGCCTGTGGAGCAAGTTCTGTAGATGGTTCCAGAGACAAGAATCCTGGGCTCAGAGCCGAGATGAGCAGAACCTTCTGCAGCAGAAGAGGTAAGCCGCCCTCGGTCTGCTCCCAGCCCTGGCCTGCGATGCCCCCATCACCCTCTCTCACCTCCTGTTTGGCACCTTTTTGTTGGGCTGAACAAACTCCGCTTCCAGGCCTGGACTGGCTCCCTGGGAGAATTTTGTCTCAAGAGTTTTCAAGAGCCTTGGCCTATGGGGCTAAGTGCCCCAGATGCCAAGTGAGAGAGGAGGGGGTGGAGAGGAGCACAGGTGTTCACTATCACTCAGATCCAATTCAGTCCTGCCAGCCTCTCATGAGCATCTCTCAGGGCCTGGCATGGGGATGGCATCACAGCCCCTGATCCCAGAGGTGCTGGCAAGTCAGGACGGTGCCTGTGCGTCTCTACACCCAGCCTCTACAACAGTCTCTCTGGCAGAAGCACATAGGATACACACGTATGCGAGCAAGAATGAATGAACAGCTGAATGAAGGAGGTGAGGAGAGAGAACCGCAGACACTAATAAGCACACAACAGGACACAATGGGAGGAGCAGTTACCATTCCTATGCATTTGTCTCGCCAGGCATCCACCAAGGCCCTGCTGTCTGCCAGGCGCTGGGAGCCTAGGAGGGAAGACCAGCAAAGCTCTTTGGGGAGTGGAGGGAGGGGTGTGGGAGAGCTACCAACATACCAGATGTGCTCAGGACTGGGGTTACCCAAACCCTTCTTAACATTGGGGAAGTCGAGCAGCCCTAAAGTCCGAGCCATAGGGAAATCTCACTTGCTGCTTCTCGCCCACCAAAACTTCCCTCGGCTCTTTGGTATTTCCCCCACTGCAGCATCTTAGGGTTAGGAGCAGAAGAGGAGGGGGAATCCCTGGAACCAGGCCGGCCCTGTGTGCAGTCTCCGTATCCCAGTCTCTAGTGGATCTCTCCAGCTAGCTGGTGGCAGCTAGAAGGAAGTCCTACCTGCTGGGGCTTTCCCTGGGGGCACCTAAGGAGCCAGGTGCTGTGTCCCTTCAGGAGGAAAGCATGGGGGTGACGGTGGGGTGGAGGTTGTGTCTCAGGATTTGTCTCAGTCTCCAAAACAGAGGCCTGCCTGTCCTGACCAGGAGGCTGCCTGGGGCCCTTGTGTTTTCTTTTGTTCTAGAACTAGGGCTGGAGATGTGTTCCTTCTGTGAGTTGTGGCTTCCTGTCTCTCACATTAGCCACCCACCTCTCCCTGCAGGTCTGGGAGAACTGGGACTGGGGTACATGTCTGGCTGGTGACGTCTTAGGGCAACAGAATGGCATTGTTGTTAGAGAATAGGTGTCACCGGCTCCACTCATGCTTCTCCCACTCTTAGGACCCCCAGGGCTGGGGAAGCTAGGCACAGAGCACAAAAGGCCAGCACTGGCAAGGGGTGTTGCAGGTGCCCTGTGTGCTGATGTCAGGGGAGGACAAAGTGGAAGCCCTGGGTGGGAGGACAGACTTCAGGCATCTTATCTGCTCATGAACTTCTTCAGACCTTAGGAGGAGGAACTCCTCTGTTGTCCTAATGCCATCATTTTGGCCATCCCCCTTCATTCCCTGACTTTCCCATCTGCTTTCACAGTTTCTTAGCCCTCTTCTTTTGGGTTGGACACCGTGTGCCCAGGACACTGGGGGTACTGACTCCTCTGTGGGTTGGCACTTCCCAGAAGGACACTGACAGTGCCTGGCCTGGGAGTTTCCTCATCTGTGCAGTCAATCAGACAAAGCAAAGACATGAGGGCAGCTAGTTGACTCTGGGATGGCCACGGAAGTAGGAACAGTATGGACAGGAGAGGGGTGGGCTGCCCTAAGCAAGGAGCAGGTGATGGATTGAAAGCCAGCACTGTGCTAGTATGGCCACTTGCTTGGTTTTCTATAATCCCAAAGGAGCCCCTAGGAGGAAGGCCCTGCTATGACCATAAGAATGGGGCCATAGAAATTAGAACTGTGTTAAGGGACACTCAAGGATCTTGGGATGGAGTCAGATAGGATTCTGAGGAAGAGGATCATCGAGTAAGAAGGGAAGACATTAAGGTTTCTCCAGGATGGTTAGGAAGGAAACTCCTCTATGTTAGCCTTTTCTTGGGTCTTAACACATAGCCTCCTCTGCTTAAATTCACATTGTTGGGATCCATGCCAAGCTTTAACTTTCTCCCATTTCTTCCAGATCATGTCTCCCTTGAGCTTGCATTTTCTCATTTTCTGTGATATTAAACATTTATTACATGTAAGATACTCCACTAGGTTTGCAGAAAATAAATGTGACACTTTCTCTGCTCTCAAGGAGCTCGTATTCCAGTAAGCCAGATCTACCAAGAGGCAAATGCTTAGGTTAAAGGTGAGCAGGGTCTAACCAAGTATTCAGGAAGCAGGGCTGCTGACAGTGTGAGAGCATGGTAGGCACTTCAGAGAGGCTGCAGACGCACCCTCCTACCCCATGCTGGTGCTTAACCTCCCCAAGGAGCAGCATGGAGGATGCTGTGTGATTACAGAGCGCATGCTAGGCACTTCACAGAGGCTGCGGATGCACCCTCCTACCCCATGCTAGTGCTTAACCTCCCCAAGGAGCAACAAGGCTGTGGATGCTGAGTGATCATATAGGCACCTGGGTGGACATGTGGGAATTGATCTGTCTGCAAAAAATAAGCCCTGTGATCTCTGGTGCACTGGGCATGCTGCCTCAGTAAACTCATACCACACATAAAAGGATTCTCAGCAGTTAGAAGGCGGTGGCCTGGCTCAGAGTCTCTAAATAGCCACTTTCCCTGGGGCTTTGGCTTCTTCATCCCATGGCCATGAACCTGCACTGGAGGGAGGTGACCCACAGGAGCCCAGCCTATGCCTCCTGCCCACACATGACTGCTCCTTCCCTCATCTGTGGCCACTGCTTAGGCCTGTCCCCCACCCCCCAAGAAGAAGCAGGAGGAGCCAAAAAACTAGAAGAACCACATAATTTAGTGGTAAGAGTCCAGGGCTAGATTCTTGGCCAAGTATCCTTGCCTTTAACTCTGTGTGATCTTATAGCAATAATTTGGCCATGCTGTCTCAGTTTTCTTTTCTGAAACATGGGAGAATTATTCAGTCCACGTCAGAAAGTTGTAAGGAACAGCAGTACTAAAAAGTGAGGTGGAAAAGATGGGCGTTATAGGGGCTGTGAACCCTCTCTGAATAAAAATGTGCCCACCCAGAATGGTCTGCAGGCAGGGGACAGGGCGTGCACCACCCCACCTTGCCCCCAGGGCATGCTCATGATTCTGAGTCTGAGAGGGTGTTTATCGAGAAACCAATGAGCCTGGTGCATGTCCCGTGGTCCCCTGTGTCTTCTCAAACCCTCCTCTGACCCTAAAAAACACAGAGAACAGAAACTTGGTAAAAAGAAGTGTCAAAATGGGTCCCCCCCAAAACAAACAAACAAACAAAAAAAAATGGGTCCCCTTCCGGCTCTGCCTCTGACTTGCTTGGACAAGTCATGTTAGGGCTCCAGGCCTCTTTCTCTGATACAGGAGCTGATTAGACTCAATTTCTGAGGACATCCTGGCTCTAAAATTATGATCTGAACTTTTCTGAAGACTTTTTTGATCCTGCCTTGTTTCTCAGCAACGAAAAACAAGATTTGACTTACGGGCACAGCACACATGGCGAACACACCCAAGAGGACACAGGATCAGCAGCGGGTGTGAGGCCACCAGGAAAGGAGAAGGCAGCTATCCTCACTTGGTGGCCCAGAGATGGCTTCCAGGGACAGATGACTGATTTGTTTACTCAACAAAAAGTTATGATAGATTTTGTGCCAGGAACCCTATAGTCAGATTTCCACCTGTCTAACATTGGATTGACTGTTCAGTTTTATAATTAATTGCCCAGTAAAACAAAACATACAAGAACCTGAAAATGCCTTTTCTATTGTTATAATTTTAGATCTGCTTTATAATTTCTTTATGCTACTTAATCAGTGGGAGTTTAAAAGCTTCACCTTTTGCTTCTCCTTTAGTTAAGTACTTAATGATCCATAAGAAAATACTTTTTATGTATAGGGATGTTTTAATTCTTTTTAGTGTGAAGAATATTTTTTCTAAAATAGATTATGAATAACTGCACCTACGAATTGGGGTTTCTCCTCCTTGCAATACCAACATTTTGGGCAGGATAATTATGGTTGGGGAGTGGGGGGCCTGACTAATGCACAATGTTTAGCAACGTCCTTGTCCTTTTCTCCCCCGTTGTGATCTAAACTCTTGTGGGCTGTGAAAAAAATTCCTTGTGCCCCAAGCACAGGAATCCTTGGCTAAGTCTGCTCTGCACACCTCCTTTGTGGGGCCCCAGTGCAGCCAGGTGTTTGGGACTCAGCCTCTCTGCCAAGAATGCTAGTTGGGGCTCTCTCTGCTGTCCCCTTCTGGCTGTCAGATGTTATTGCAAGTAATGGCTCTGTCTTAAATCCTATCCACACTCCATCTGCCCTCCTTGGTGGTGGAATTCTGGTGGTTGCAGCCAAAAGAAGCCAGTTCTGTACAAACCTTGGTGGGTTGTGTCATAAACTAATTCTTTACCCAGGGTATGGGTAAGACCAACTTTCCAGATAAAATAGGACACTCAGTTTAATTGCATTTCAGATAAATAATAGTTATTACAAAGATGTTCAAATATTGCATGGGATATAACTTTAGCTACACTGAAAATAAAGTTTTGTGTCCAATATTCAAGTTTTACTGAGCATGCTGTACTTTTTTCGGTAAATATGGCACCTTTAGATCTGATAGTAGCCCACTAAGGTCAGTAGAGGGTAGAAAAGGTTTATATAGAAAATGGGGGGCTTTGGGGGGACATTTATGGGCTTTAGGGATGTTTAGGGACTCAAGGAAAGTCTCTGGACCTGCCACTGACTACACCACCACTCATCTGTTAGGGGGAAGGGAGCTCTAAAAATTCTGTGCTTGGTCAAGGCACCCCTTTGAATCCATTTCTAGATTTTCCGTTAACTTTTTATACATTTGATCAAAATAGGGCGTAAAACTGAAAGCTAATTGGAGGAGGGCAGGGAAGAGGTACAAAGATGAGTAAGCGCTGGTCTCTGTCAGCTACATAGGCAGGGTGTCCAACTGTTTTTCTTTTTCTGCTGCACATCAGAAGAATAAGAGTTTTCTTGGGCTACACAGCAAATGCACAAACACAAATGAAAGCTGAGGAGCCAAAAGAGGTCTGTGCATAGTTTTCATGGTATCTGACACCACAGATAAGTAACAGAAGTCCTCACAAAATCAACATGTGGTGGGGGGGTGCAGGTTAGACACCCCCAGAAGGAAAAGATAGGTACTAGTTACAGCACACAGTGGAAGGTCCCAAAACAAAACTAAGGCCAAAGGAGAAACTTCTTGAGGAGGATGTGTGTGTTGAGGGAAGTTCTCTTTCCTTCCCCCCATTTGGTGCTGGCTCAGGGATACCTGTGGAGGAGAAGTCTGGGGGCCAAGTGTTGGGGAGGTGGAGAAGGCAGTGCAGGAAGCTTGTTTTGTAGCTGCATGTGCATGCCAGGCAGGCACTTAGAGGATGTGTTTGCTTCAGGGTGGCGCAAGGGCTGTCTGATGGGGGATAATAAGGAGGAGAGCAAGGCCAAACCACCTCCTGGCATTGCTACTGACTCCTTCCTTCCACAGGTAGTGTCAGTGTACACCTAGTCTATACGGGCGTGTCTGTGGGTACAGGGAGTGCAGAATAAACAGGAGGAAGGAGAAGAGTGTGCTCTGCAGAGCTGAGGCATGTCGTGAAACCCAAAGCCAGATGGAAAGAGTGGAAGGTCATTGCAGAAAGATCATAAAGGGTCTCCATGTTCCTCACCCTTGGGCATTTAGAGACCCATCGGGCTTTTGTAAGTTGTGATTTAGAAAGGTTGTCTCAGCAGCACAGAGAAGAATGGAAGGGGGGCAGACAGGATGCAGGGAAACTAGCTAAGAGATTTTGCTAATCCTGGGCTAGAGAATGAGGATGTGAATTAAGGAAGGTCAGTAGGGGAAAGGAGGTAGGGACTGAATGGAGAGAGAGCTTTACATACTGAGTGGACAGGGTCTGATGGCTATCCGTGTGACACGCAGAGGACAGCTGGGTTGTTGTGCCAGTGCTCAGCTGACTCCTCTCCTCTCTGATGGTCCTCCCATCCCCACTCTGGAGAAGATTTCTTGCTACTTCATCACTTCAGGATGTGAGCCCCTGTCTGTGTCTTTTTGTAGGTCACATAATTGGCCATCTATGGATAAATAGGGTTATTTCATTCACTCTCACAGAAAGACCAAATGACTCCCGGCTGAGAGAGAAAATTGAATCAAAGTGACCCATGTATCTTAGTTGGACTAAGTTTTGATTTGGAAAGAGATTTTTAGTTCATTGTAGGAATAAGACTAGAGAGATGAGCTAATCAGAGAAGATTGTTTTGCCTAAAATAAGTGAGATGTGGATAATAAGTAAGGAGAAACAATAATTTAACTTAGGGAGCAAAACCAAAAAGGATCCATGAATCCAAAACTGGATAAACTCGAGAAGGGTCAGAGGGCAGAATGGGAACATTCAGACAGGTCCACATGAAATTCAATAAATGACTCCCTAAATTGGATTCTCTCTTTTTCTCTGCCTCTGCTATTCCTGTCCGTAGTTTGTGCCTTCATAGGTGCTAATGGCCAAAATAAAGTAGCACTTAAGGACCTCTAGATGACCAGTCTAAGGACAATGGAAAATATTGCTTCTCAAACCTTAATGTGAGCTATCTGAAATGGAGCTCCCTGAATGTGCCTCTAATTGATGGCCACAGGTTTACACATGCAGGGAACATACTCAAATGCTTGCTGGCTTGAACAATGCCTCTTAAATTTTCACGTGCACAGAAATCAGCAGGGGAATCTCCTTACTGCACATTCTGATTTGCTAGGTCAAAGGATGGCTCTGAGAGTTTACATTTCTTTTTTTTTTTTTTTTTTTTGAGACAGAGCCTCAAGCTATCCCCCTGGGTAGAGTGCCATGGCATCACGCTCACAGCAACCTCCAACTCCTGGGCTCAAGCGAGTGTCCTGCCTTTGCCTCCCAAGTAGCTGGGACCACAGGCGCCCGCCACAACGCCTGGCCATTTTTTTTTGGTTGCAGCCATCATTGTTGTTTGGCGGGCCCGGGCTGGGGATTCGAACCCGCCACCTTAGGTGTATGTGGCTGGCGCCTTAGCCGATTGAGCCACAGGCGCCGAGCCGAGTTTACATTTCTTATGAGGGCTCATGTGATACTGACACTCCAGGGGTCTACCTTGTGAAGGATGGCCATGGAGATTAAGATGTAAGAAGCAAGGAGAGAAAGGAAGAAAGAGAGAGAGAGAGAGTAAATGAGTAAATGAATAAGTAACTGAATGAATGACCAGGAGGCAGGGAAGCCCAGAGCCAGGCTTGTTCTTATAGGCCATTGTTCCTTTTGGACTGAGCCCTGAAGATATTACTGGAGGGATGAAAGCACCAGGACTGAGGGTTTAGCTGAGGTTGAGTCAGCAGAGGCCACAGGAGGAAATCGGCTGGCCTCTACATATCAACTTCCTCCACAAATAGGAGAGGGAACTCCCTGCACCCCTAATCTGTGCCAAACTAGGCTTATCCTGCAGGGCAATCTCAGGGCAACTGGTGAGGCTAAAACAGGACCGCTCCAGGGGTCAACCAGTCAGGAAGTGAATAGATGTTTAAGTAAAACTCTCTTTGCCTGGAATACACAGAGGATGTGTTCACACATTGTACATTCCCATCCCAGCACCCCAGGGAATAGGAAACAGTCATAGACAATCATTCATGTAAGCTAAATGGGCAAAAAAGTAGGTTTGTATTGACTGGCTATGTTCAAAGACATCAGGCCACCTGCACCCTTCACAGGCCTGCCTGCCATGATCAAGAACCTTGGGGTTCACTGCTGCCGGGGTACACATGTCTGTGTAGGCTCCAGCACCCCAACTGGGCATGCTCGCCACTGCCACTTTTCTCACCCCTTTCCCTTGTAGGATCTGGGAGTCTCCTTTCCTTCTAGCTGCCAAAGAGAATGATGTCCAGGCTCTGCACAAGATGCTCAAGTATAACGCCTGTGAGGTGCACCAGAGAGGTACAGAGCAGACGCGCTAACACCAGGGCTGCCCAAGAGACCCCAGACCTTGTGCTGCAGATTCCTGACACTGTATTGTCCCCATTTCCCACCCCATGTGACCCTTCTTTCTATAAATGATAGGAGCCATGGGGGAGACAGCACTGCATGTAGCAGCCCTCTATGACAACGTGGAGGCCGCCATTGTGCTGATAGAAGCTGCCCCTGAGCTGGTCTTTGAGCCCATGACATCGGAGCTGTATGAGGGTGAGGGGCCCAGGGCCACCATGGAGGGCAGCAGTGACCTGCTGGATATTGCATCAGTCTCTGTGGCATATATTTGGGGGACGTCAGAGGCAGGGATCTGTTCCCTAGTCTTTATTCCTTTCTCTGTCTCCCTTCTTCCTTGTCAGTTCTGACTCTGAAATGCCAGGGGTCCCGAGAAGGGAAAGACACAGGGAGCAGCTGGGTACCCTAGGAACCCTGAGCACCCCAGGGCTCCCCATGCAAAATTCCAGGCTTCCCCTGGGGTAAGACGACCACAGGTATACATGGAAGGGACACCATCAGGATCCTGGGGACAGTCCTGTGACTGCTGACTGTCTCTGGGCCAGGTCAGACTGCACTGCACATCGCTGTTGTGAACCAGAACGTGAACCTGGTGCGAGCCCTTCTGAATCACGGGGCCAGTGTCTCTGCCAGAGCTACGGGCACCGCCTTCCGCCGCAGTCCCCGTAACCTCATTTACTTCGGTGAGAGCAGGGCCAGGCTGGGAGGATGGGAAGGCCGAGAGGTGGCCAAGGGCAGCTGTCTGGAGCTTAATTAGGCTGGAGGTCAATCCCTCCACAGTCCTTCCTCTGGTTCTGCCAGACAAGTGTCCCCAGACCCTGAGCTGAGGTGCGTCGGGAGAGGAGGCATTTGGGGGAGACAGCCCCTCCCACTCACTGTCCTGTGCTATCCTGCCATGGTACCCTGTGTGTTCCCAGGGGAGCACCCTCTGTCTTTTGCTGCCTGTGTGGGCAGTGAGGAGATTGTGCGGCTTCTCATTGAGCATGGAGCTGACATCCGGGCCCAGGACTCCTTGGGTAAGAGCTAGGATAGAGAGGGCAGCCAGGCTGTAGGTGGAGGGATGGGGAAGGCTGGGACCTCAGGCCCACCCTAGGTGGGGATGGGGACATCAGGGACTTTGGGCCAATGGCCCCATGATGCCCGTGTCCTCCTCCAGGAAACACGGTGTTGCACATCCTCGTTCTCCAGCCCAACAAAACCTTTGCCTGTCAGATGTACAACCTGCTGCTCTCCTATGATGGCCGTGGAGACCACCTGCAGCCCTTGGACACTGTGCCCAACCACCAAGGCCTCACCCCCTTCAAGCTGTCCGGAGTGGAGGGAAACACTGTGGTGAGAGATGCCCCCTTGCCTGCGTCACCCTATCCTTCTGACTTCAGAAACAAATAGCTCTGAACACACACTCCTGGCAGTTAGGGCAGTAGCTGTTCAGACTGGGATTTTCCTCTCAACCCCTGTCTCTCTTGTCCCCTATTCCCTTTCTACCCTACAGATCTAGATCTCATGTTGGTAGGCCATAATGCCCCAGCCTACCTTCCCTATCCATCCCAGAGTGTCTGTCCTCCAGCCTGTCACCTTCCTTTCCCAGGCTCCTGAGAGAGGCCTGGGGGAGGGGGCCAGCGAATCAGAGTGACGTGGGTTCTTCCAGCTCCAATGGCTGTGGCCACTGTGGGAAGTGGACCCACCCCTTCCAGGGCTGTTGTCCTCCTGGCACACCTCGCACCTGTGCCCTCGGACTGTCCTCTTTGCTTGCCCCTCCTGAACTCTCCACACTCCCTCAGATGTTCCAGCACCTGATGCAGAAGCGGAAGCACATCCAGTGGACGTATGGGCCACTGACTTCCACCCTCTATGACCTCACGGAGATCGACTCCTCAGGATGCGAGCAGTCCCTGCTGGAACTTATCGTCACCACCAAGAAGCGGGAGGTAGGGGTCATTAGGGCCACTGCACCAATGGGGATGCTGGAACCTCTGAGCCACCTGCTCTCTTCCCCCTCCCTCAGGCTCGCCAGATCCTGGACCAGACACCAGTGAAGGAGCTAGTGAGCCTCAAGTGGCGCAGGTACGGGCGGCCGTACCTCTGTGTGCTGGGGGCCATCTACCTTCTCTACATCATCTGCTTCACCATGTGCTGCGTCTACCGCCCCCTCAAGTCCAGGACCACCAACCGCACCAGCACTAGGGACAACACTCTACTGCAGCAGAAGCTACTCCAGGTGATGCCCTGGGTGCAGGGCAAGGCATGACTCTCCGCTCTTTCTCAGACATTTCTCCCCTCACTCTGACATCAGATACCCACAGAGACATACACACACTCTTACTGCTGTAAGAGCAGAGTCTGAGAACAGCTCAACCTAATGGGCTGAAAAGGACCTGATGGGGCTGATGACCCTGGGAATCAGGAGCACACAGGGCAGATGCTGGAACCCTGAGTGCTTTGATCATCCTTTTCCTCCCTCAGGAAGCCTACGTGACTCCCATGGATGACATTCGGCTGGTGGGGGAGCTTGTGACCATCCTTGGGGCTCTGATCATCCTGCTGATAGAGGTGAGGTGTGGTTGGGATCAGGGGTGAGGCTGTCTGCCTCAGGAGCCAGCCAGAGCTCTGGTCTACAAGTGTCTGTGTGTCTCCCTGTATTCTCTCCAGATTCCAGACATCTTCAAGATGGGGGTCACTCGCTTCTTTGGACAGACCATCCTTGGGGGGCCATTTCATGTTCTCATGTGAGTCTTCTTTTCCCAGCCCCATCCCTTCCCGCAGCAGGGCTCCAGCTTCTTTTCGTGAGCCTGGCCTCTGCAGTGATGCATGTATGACCCTGTGTTCTGAGTGTGCAAAGACTCAATCTGAGTGTGTGGGTACCTTCCAATTTCACTCTTGCTATCAAGTCTCCAGGATCATCCAGCCCTCCTCTTCTCACCCCATCTGCTCTCTCCCCAGCATCACCTATGCCTTGCTTGTGCTGGTGACCATGGTGATGCGGATCACTAACACCAACGGAGAGGTGGTGCCCATGTCCTTGGCCCTGGTGCTGGGCTGGTGCAACGTCATGTACTTCGCCCGAGGATTCCAGATGCTGGGCCCCTTCACCATCATGATCCAGAAGGTCAGTGCCTTACCCTCAAGTTTCCTAGAGAAAGGTCCCAGAGCAGAGGGTCAGCAAACAGTTCTGTAAAGGGCCAAATAGTAAACATTCTAGGTTTTGCAATCCACACCCCGTCTTGTGTCATATTCTTTTTTAACAATCCTTTAAAAATGTGTAGTAAAAATCCTTTTTTGTTCAAGAACCATACCAAGTCAGGTCAGGTGGGTTTGGACTAATGGTCATAGTTTGCCAACACCTGCCTAGATTTATCAGAGATCAGATAGGGCAATGATTTAGGGAACACGTGGAGATGTTCTTTCTGCCTCCTCCTTCCTCCAGATGATTTTTGGTGATCTAATGCGATTCTGCTGGCTGATGGCTGTGGTCATCCTGGGCTTTGCTTCAGGTAAATCATCTGTCCAGCATGGGAGAAATGGGAGGGAGAGGTTGAGGGGACCTAGAGAGCACAGAAGGTCTATGGCTGACCTTGGGGAAGGGAGAGAAGGCAGAGCTTGGAGAAATCTATACGATGTCTGCAGATGGCACATGCCCCAGAGGTGAGAGGAAACTGGGAATGTAAGGAAGAGGTGGCTCTTAAGATCAGAAGCATGAGGCTTGTAGAAAATAATGGACCCTAAGACCCCAAAGTGTTGGGTATCTGGGGGGTTGGAATGGTGATACCGGAGATAAGAGGGAATAGAACCCAAATGGGCAGCAATGATCTGGGTGTGGGCAAGTCATCTATATGGTTGCCATGGTAACCCTCACCCTCTTGGGTGGAGCAGCCTTCTATGTCATCTTCCAGACAGAGGACCCCACCGAGCTGGGCCACTTCTACGATTACCCCATGGCCCTGTATAGCACCTTTGAACTGTTCCTCACTATCATCGATGGCCCTGCCAACTACAGTGTGGATCTGCCCTTCATGTATAGCATCACCTATGCCGCCTTCGCCATCATTGCCACACTGCTCATGCTCAACCTTCTCATCGCCATGATGGGAGACACGCACTGGCGAGTGGCTCATGAGCGGGATGAGCTCTGGAGGGCACAGGTGAGTCCCTGGGGCTGACAGCAGGGGGGGTGTCATGGCTTTCCTCCCGATGAATGAGTCAAACTAGGATAGAGGCAGGGTATTTTGACCCTACATATGCTTGGAAAGTTGTTGCACACTATATAAAATCATGCAAGGGGTACAGAAGAGTTAGATGAGTAATGCAACTGAGCAATACTAGAATCACCGGAAAAAATTCAGATTTCTCAGCAATTAAAACCTCAGTCTTTTCTGGAATAACCAACAAGAAATAAAAGTAACAGTGGCCACAATTACATTCAGTAAAATTTGTTTCCTAATAAAACCCAGAGTATCAAGTCTTCTTGGTAACAGTTAAGTCTGTGAAATTTGACCCAGAAAAACTAGATGTTAAAAATAATACCACAAAAACTTCCTATAGTAGCAAAAGCTACCCTTAGTCAGATCATCATGATAGAGATAACCATTAGATAAATCAAATCCTCATTAATAATTGTGTACGTAGAAGGTAATTTGTCTCAAAATATTAATTTCAGCAAAATAAAAATGAAAATCCCCCAAACAGGGAGGCAATTTAATTGTGCTGTGTAGAAAGTGAAATACAAACTAAGCTAGCTAAATGGGGTGTTTTCAGGAAAATATTTTTCCATAAACATATATTGACATCCTAAGTGGGATGCTATTAAGAGGCCTTTATATCTGTGGGGTCAGAATCTCTAAGAGCGCTTAAGCCTCCTTTGCTCTAGTACAGGTTCCCCTCGGAACAGGTGTCTCTGCCTCCTGCATCCTGTCTGAGTCCAACCTGTATCCCTACTGCATCCTGCCTTCACCCCCTCCTGCATCCCTCCAAGCTCCCATGTACCTCCTGTACATGAATCTCTCTGCCTTTCCCGTACATCCTGCCTATATTCCCCCTGCAGCCCCTCAGCTCTGCCCTGCAATCTCACATGCACCCCCTGCATCTCCTACACATCCCGCCTGCATTCTCCTGATTCCCTCCTGCACCCTTCCTACATCCCACCTGCATTCTGCCTGCATGCCACCTACTTCTTGCCTGGCTTTGCCATTGATGTCATTGAGTGAAGAATTGTGGGGCTCAAGTCCCATCAATTCTCTCCCACAGGAGAGGATCAACAAAGTTCACACTACCTTCAAGATAAGGGGTGTTGTTCTTCATCCCTGGGAAACCATGAGCTCCAGGGCTTCCTGTTGCTAAGCTGCTGTAACCCCCCCACCCCACCGCACCCTGACTCCTTCTACAGCTCTCATCTCTCAGTGTACGCCCAGCTTCATCTCTGACTTTCCCTCTGTTCCCACGCGCAGGTTGTGGCCACCACAGTGATGCTGGAGCGGAAGCTGCCTCGTTGCCTGTGGCCACGCTCTGGGATCTGTGGGCGCGAGTACGGCCTGGGGGACCGCTGGTTCTTGAGGTGAGTGACCAGGGAGTGGTTGTCCCCTGAGGTGGCGCAGTCTGTGTAGTGTTCCCAGGCACTCTACCCTCTGATTGAGCTGCTGAGAAAGGGCCCCACTAGGAGCTTGGACCCCTCAGAGCATCTCTAGAGCTAGGGACCAGATCCTGCTGCTTTCTGAGGCCCGGCTATGAGAGCTGGTGGCCTGGACACCCACACTGGCCACAGAGAAGGGAAAAGGCAGCAGTGGTGGGGCCAGGGCTAGACAAGCCTCTGTCTTGGACATGCTCTTGCATTCCTGGCTGCCCCTCAAGCCACCCCCCACAATGCTCCACAGGGTGGAAGACAGGCAGGACCTCAATCGGCAGCGGATCCAACGCTATGCAAAGGCCTTCCACACCCTGGGCTCCGAGGACTCGGACAAAGACTCAGTGGACAAACTCGATCTGGGCCGCCCCTCCAGCCCCCACTTGTCCCTTTCTATACCCTCAGTGTCTCGAAGTACCTCCCGCAGCAGCATCAACTGGGAGAGGCTCCGGCAGGGGACCCTGAGGAAAGACCTGCGGGGGCTGGTCAACAGGGGTCTGGAGGATGGGGACAGCTGGGAATACCAGATCTGAGGGCACACCACCTCCAGAAAGTTGCTCTCATTTTCCTGGGAGCATCAAAACAAAACCAGGACCACATGACAACCAACATATACCTAGAAGTCTAATCTCCCAAGCCCAGGAGGGAAGGGAGAGAAGCATGAGCACCAAGGAAAGTGCATGACACATGTCAGTTTGTGTATCAGGAATCAGTGCTCTGTGTTGGCATCACTGCCAGCTCCAGGGCACACAGAGCCCTGGAGTAGTGGGCCATGTTCCTGTTGTGGGAGGGGCCTCCCTGCTGACCCTTCTGCACCCACTGCTGCTCAACAAAGCACTTTAGGCTGGGCTGGCTCTCCCAGGCACCTGGTCTCCAGCCCAGTGTCATAAGAGGGAAGGGAAAGCGTCCTCTCAGGCTGTCCCACATAGGTGCAGGGCAGGCTCAGGGCTTGTCCAAGGTGTGCTTGAGAGGGAGGCTGGTGCCAGGGTGGGATGAAGCAGGGTAGAGTCTTGCCCCCTTCCACCTTCCAATAAAGTTATTTCCTGCTCCCTGCCCACTTCCCTTCTGCATCTCTGTGGTGCTGGTGCCACCTGCCCACTGCCCTACCTTTCCTTGTAGGATTAGGCCTCACCACACCTGAAATGGCCAATTCCCTTCTTTCCCTTTAATGTGGGGAGGCTGGTGGAGGGGTGGAGGGCTGGGGACGCAGCACCCATCCAGGCAGCTGGGTTTGCTGTGGGCATCTCTCATGGATGCCGAGAGGGAGCCTCGCTCCCATCTCACATGTCCCTTCTCAGCCTGTGTCCAGTGGTCAGGGGCAGCATCAGTCCACAGCTTCCTGCCCAGGCCTCAGACCTCCACTGAGCCTGGCTGCCGCAGGTGCTGCTGAAGGAGCTGGACATGGTGCAGCAGCTTCTTCTGGTGGCCAGCCAGGGTGATACCCAGAGCAGGCAGGTCTCTGGTGGAAGGGGGAGGGAGGGAGTCAAATGTGGGCCAGCTTCTCCAAGATTCCCAGTATGGCCCCTGGCCTGGGGCTCAGAACACTTGCCCTCCCAACCCCCTGCTTACTCCAGGCTGAGCTGAGCCACGTCGCTGAAGGTGCAGAGGCCAAATTTGGAGAAGTTGTCCTGGTAGCACTCCAGTCCAATGGCCGAGAGCCAGGCCTGGGGAGTGTCCAGGCAGGGAAAGTCCAGGGCCACAGGGTTCAGAAGGGCCTGGGACGGCCTAAGGGGGAGGGGCAAGCTGGTCAAGGTCTCCTCTTCATCTTAGCCCCCTCTCCTCGGTTTTCTCTTTGGTCAGCATCTACCCTCCCTGGCTTTCCCAGACTCCAGCCCCATGCTCCAGACCTGTCCCCAAGGTCCCTGCCAGCCTGTAGGGTATCTGGCTTTCGAATCATCTTGTCAAATGCAGCCACCAGCTGGTCAAAGTGAGGCCGCCGGGCACGGTCCTTCTGCCAAGTGTCCAACATAAGGAGATGGAGTCCAGGAGGACAGCCTGGAGGTGGGGGCAACCGGAACTCCTGCTCTATTGCATTTAATACCTGGGACGTCAAAGGAACAATGTGAGAATTGGAAGTCAGAGCTAGGAGAGGGGAATACTTCACTAGGTAAGGGGATAGGCTGGAGTGCAGTGGGAACATGAAGTGGGAGCCATGAAGGAACTCAAAGACCAAGAATCCAAGAGCCAGGAGGTCTTAGAAGGGGAATGGATTAGCGAATGGAGTTCTTGGAATGTTCCCGCCTGCGAGGTTCAGCAGTGTCTAGGTCAGCACTCACCTCCTGCTCGCTCATGTCCCAGTAGGGTCGTTCTCCATAACTCATCACTTCCCACATAACTATCCCAAAGCTCCAGACATCACTGGCTGTTGTATGCTTTCCATGTGCAATGACCTCGGGTGCCGCCCAGCGCAGCAAACAACCTGGGCCCTGAGGAGTGAAGTTGAAAGTGACAATAGTAATAGTCATAGCAACAGTCAATATTTATTGAGTAACTACTCTGTGCTCAAATGTTTGTCAAGTGTTTTATATCACGCATCTCATTTAGTCTTCATAACAACCCTGTAAGGTAGATGATATTTTCTCCATCATCCTCTCTATAGATGCAGGGGCTGAGGCTTAGAAAATAGGAGCTTGTCCAAGGTCACAGAGGCTGAGAGTAGAGCACTCAGGAATTGTAGCTATGCTGACTCTGAGGCCTGTGGAACCTCTGTATTGGGGGAAAGCAGGGGAGGAGATGGTTCTAGATTTTTGCTCTTGCCCTCCCCAGTCCCCTTACATTCCCTTGGTCCTTGAAATCCTTCAATCCTCCCTCTCCTGCTGCCACCAGGCTTTTACCTGCCAACACAGAAGGCATCCTCCTTCCTTAAACATTATGAGAGCTCACCTAAGGCATCCACCCCAGATGCCAGCTCACCCTCCAGTACCTGCTGAAGGTGCTGAATCCCTAAGGCTGTGCTCTTACCTGAGGACTGTGACCCAGACGAGCCACCTTGCACACCAGGTGGCTGTTCACCAGCACACTGCGGGCAGAGAGGGCACGGTGCACGAAGGCAAAGCTGGACAGGTACTGCATAGCGGCAGCCACTCCCCGCTGCATGGCCACCAGCTGCAGGCTGCTGAACTGGCCCTCCCGCTGCTAAGGGGCAGGGGGAAGAGGTCAGTGATAGTGGGCAGGAACCTTGACACTGCACAGCAGACATCGGCATGATAGGGCAGGGGCTGCAGAATTAGGAATCAGAAAATGCCCTGGGAAGGAAGGATGGAGACTATGGAAGGTGAGGCAGGAGGAGCAAAGACAGGACTCTGTCTCCTGAAATAGCAGAGAACCCCAAGTTTCCTGAACCCAAGGCCCCTCCCACTTTACCAGAGCTGAACTGACCCTGAGAAAGCTGTCGAGGGGCCCGAGCTCCATGAGCTCTGTCAGCACCATGAGGGGTCGGCTCTTGGTGACCACACCCTCCAGCCGCAGGATGTTGGGGTGCTGGAACTGGCCCAGCACTGCGGCCCGGCCAAGGAAGGTCATCTGCAGGCTCTCAGCACCCCCAGCCCACAGGGCCTGGATGGCCACAGCCTGCTCCCTTCGGCCCCGGGGCTGTAGGCGGCCTCTGCGCACTTCTCCAAAAGAGCCTGAGAGAACAGGTGTGTGTTGTGGGTGGGGGTTGAGGAAGGACCAGAGGTTCCCAATCCCCTCTGGGGTTTACACAGGACTCTAGCCAGGGGAGGTTCCCGCCCACCCCACCCCCCCACCAGCTCTGCCACCCCTGTTCCCCTGCAGTACCTGTCCCAATGACCTCCTCAATCTTGATATAGGTAGGATCAACCTCCCGGGCAAGTTCCCGGATGGCCTGGCAGGGGTCCTCATAAGTGGAGGGGTCGATGTAATACTTCACCCCAAGCCCTGCAGGGGTGTGCAGGATGTTATAGGGTGTGATGCAAAAGGGGCTGCCTCATACCCCAGACTTGCCCACCTCTTGACCTCAGGAGGACCCAGCATGGCCTGTACCTGCCCAGCCCCAGGTCTCTTTGAGCCCCTGACCCCACCTGGGCTGCTGTACTGCTGAAGTTGCTCTGTGTAGCCCGTCCCGCGGCGCTTCCTGAGGGGCAAACCAGGGCCTGGAATGATACTCCCATTTCTACCCCGCCCTTTCCAGCCTGTCTGTGGAGGGAGGGCACAAAGGGTCCTTCCTTCCCACCTCAGCATGCAGCAGGGCTGGGTGGTGGGAGGGGTGCTGGTGGGGGTCTCTGCCAATACTTGAAGACTTGGGGTTGAGCCTGGAGGAGTGGATGGAGCTGGGGCAGGTGGGTGGACTGGGACTCACCGCTGGAAGACCACAGCCAGCACCACGATGGCCGCCAGCAGGAGGAAGGCCAAGGCCCCCAGGATGGAACCAATCACCAAGGAGAGTCTCTCTGGAAGCTGAGAGGACAGTTCACCTGCGGGACCAGCTGCCAGAGTCACAGGTGGTCCGGGCCTCTCACATGTGTATGCACACTGGCCCACCTGCCCACCTGTTTACCTCCACTCCACATGCATCCCACACACTCTCACATACACAGAGGCCTCCACTCCCATACTCACAACACTCATAACACACCCCACCCCTGCAGCCTCCACCCCTACACACACCCCAAACCCCACCCCTACACACACCCCAATCCTCCAACCCTTCATACAACTCAACCCCCATCCCTACACACACCCAACCACTAGCCCCTATATAACCCCAATTCCCACCTCTATACATATCCCACAATCCCCCCTGCAAACACCCCACCCTGCAGCCTCCACCCCTACACACCCTGCAGCCCCCACTCCTACACACACCCCAATCCCCTACTCCTACATACATCCCACAACCTCCCACACCTACACATACCCCAATCCCCACCCCACACATGTCTCACAACCCTTCACCCTTACACATTCCTTGCAACACCTCACCTCTGCCCATACCCCACAACACCCACCCCTGTGCATACCTCACAACCCCTCATCCCTGCACATTCCCCACAACCTCCCACCCCTACACATACCCCACAACCCCACACCCCTATACATACCCCACAACCTCACACTCCTATACATACCCCACAGCACCCACCCCTGCACATACCCCACAACCCCTCACCCCTACTCCAACCCTCACCCCTACACACATCCCAACCTCTCACCCCTAAACATATCCCAGTCCCCCACCATTGCACACACTCACAACCCCCTTCACCGCTATACACACAGCCTCTAAGTTCAGCTGCTTGGCCACATCACCATCCTCTCCCACAGAGCCTCTGGTCTGGAGGATACTGTGTCAGGGCACAAGTCCTCCTCCCTACCCTGTTGGGCCTCCCCCACCCATGGAGATGCCCTCACCTTGAGGCAGTGTCTGGAAGTAGACTTTGCCCCCATATGGGCCATGGCCAGCAGCTGTCCTTGCCCGCACCTGGAAGCCGTAGATGTGGCCAGGACTCAGCTGTGTCACAGTGGCAGTGTTGGTCTCACTGGTCAGGGTGAAGGAGTGGGACTCGTCTTCTGCCTGGGGGTAATAGCCACTCACTTCCTGCCCACTGCCATTCTTGCCCTTGCTGACCCCCAAGTGTCCAGCCCCTGTCCAGGTCACTGGGCTCTCAGGCTCACTCCTGTGCAGGCTCCTGGGCACCTCTCTTGGCCCAGCTGACTTCCTGTCCCCACCCTGTGGATCAGAACTGCCATCAGCCTCCCATGGTGCCCCACTACTGCCCACCTGGTCATAGTAGCGGAGCTGATAGTCCAGGATGTTGCCGTTGGTCTGGTCAGGCTGCGGCCAGGACACCGTGATGCTGTTGGATGCCCGGCTCACCTGGTGTACCACAGGCACTGCAGAGGGAACTGGACAGGGGCAGGCCATTAGGGGTATGGGAGTCCTGGACACAGGAGCATCACAGCTGGGGTAGACAGGACAGAGCTGCAGCAGGCAGGCTAGAAGGCAGGAGAGGGTAAGAGGTACCAGGGAGCCCAGGCAGGGCATCCTCAAGCCCAAGAACTCACCTTCATGGCTGGTGCTGACATTGATGGCTGCAGCCTGGGGAGGGTCTGGGCTGAGCTCAGACACCCCATTGACGGCCTGCACCTCTAGGATGTAGGGCACGTGTGCTCGGAGCCCCCCTACTAACACCCGGCTCTCAGTCAGGCCCCTCTGGCGGGGGTCGAAATGGACCTCATCCCTGCAGCGGCGACACACTCCACCGCTGCTGCCAGGCTCCCGCTGGCCTCCACATTCTTTGCACACGACATTGAAGAGCAGGTCCCCTCGCCCCCCGAGCTCCTGAGGCAGGCGCCAGTGTAGCATGAGTGCGGAGCCTTGCACCTCGAACCACAGCTCCCGGGGAGCCGAAGGAGGGCCTGGGGAGGCCGGACAGTGTGACGTGCGACAGGGAAGGACCAAGAAGGTGGGAGTCATGGGGGGGGGGTGGAGAGTGAGGAAGGGAGGAGGCAGGGGAGGGTGAGGGCCAGAGAGGAGGAAACAGAGTGCAGGGGGGCACAGGGAAATACAGTGGGGAGGCAGGGAGAGAGGACACCGAGGAAACAAGGAAAAGATAAGTCACTCCAAATGCAAAGGCCCCTCGCCCACAGAGTTCTGCATTTCTGGCCCCTTCCTGTTTCTTATCCTCACTGGGCTGGGTGGGGGACTCACCAGTGCAGGGGGCCTCTGGTGGGTCAGAGCTGGCCCGGTAGAAGCCCTGCAGGCAGGGGCAAATGGGGGCTGCAGGGGTGATGGCGTGGCTTCGGGCAGGGCATGGTGAGCAGAGGCCATTTCCAGGCTGGGCCTTATAGAGCCCCAGGGGACAGGCTGAGGAGGCAGAGAGGACACAGGTGTCATGCTCATTCTGCCCACCCCCCTGCATTCCCAATACACCTGCAGGCAGGGCCTCTCAGCTTCTCCCCCTTGGAGCTGCTTCTCCTTTTCTTCCTAGACCTATCCGCACTTGCTCTTCCCTCAGCACAGACTCCTTCTACCATTTCCTGGGACAGACTGCATTTCTATTGAAGGAGAAAAGGAGGTGCAGGGGGACCGTGGGCAGGCCCAGCAGCAGAGGTGGGTGCTTCTGGCTTGTTGCATAACCTCCCTCTGAGGAGGAGGCCTCCTGCTACGGTTGTTGGGCTCAGCTGGTACCCACTGCTCCTTCTACCTGCATCCTTCCCAGGCCCCAGCAGGAACCTTCCCCACCCAACAGAGCATGGGGACAAAGGACTGCAGCTCAAGGCAACCAGGCAGTTTAACACCTTTTGGTCTCCATCACTTCTCAGACCTGGAGCCCTTGGAGCCTCAGTAATTGCTGTGAAAGGCTCCAGAAGGTTCCAGAAATTTTATATTAGTAGGTGACAGCACGTTCGAGTTCTTTAGGGAATAATCTTAGGGAAAACAGAGTTCCTTTCCTACGATGGATTATTCCTAACCGTCTGGGGACAAAATGAAGTTTTAGGAAGCGGGAAGATAGGAAGTCAGGTGGGAGATAGCAGGGTTGTGAGAAGCACAGGGGAGGGGCTCTCACCTTGGCAGGCCTTGTCCCCTCGTGCAGGCTGGTGTCCGGGCTGGCAGCGGCAGCCCCCGACGGCTACCATCCACTTGCCCTCCCCATTGCAGTGCAGCCTAGGGGGGTTGCTCCCCGCCTGGCCCCCCACTCCATCCTCCTCTGGCTCTGCGTGAGCCACACAGGTGCCCACTGCTGCCACCAGGGAGGCACCCCCGGCCCCACTGGCCTGCGTCTCTGGAAAGGAGGCGAAGGCTCGGAACACCGCGGGGCAGGTGTAAGAGAAGAGCCGGACAGCGACAAGGGCCAGGCAGGCCCCTGTGTCCTGGAAGGCCACGTAGAAGCCGCGCTGGGTGAGAGGCCCAAAGCTCCTCTCTTTGACGTTCAGCTGCAGCCCAGCACGCTGCCCCACCCCGTGGGGCCCCAGAGCCCACGCAGAGGAGGAGGCAGCAGAGGACGAAGAGGAGGACGAGGAGGGGAAGCTCTCATCAGCTGCAATTGTGTCCACCTTGGTCCAGCGTTTGAGGTGCCAGGCCGGAACGCTGCCGGGGCTGTCAGGCTCCTCGGCCTGGCGGTAGTAGAGGGTGAAGGTCTCCCGGCAGGTGCCCCCGCTCACGCCCAGGCTAGAGCATGCCCGCACGGAGAAGTGGAGCCGGATGTGCACCCTCTGCGCCCCTCGCCGGTCCACAAAGTGTGTCTGCAGCCAATTGTCCTGCCCAGTGCCTGGAGGCGCCCCTGCCACGTGGCAGGCCTCGAAGGTCCGTGTCAGGCGACGCTGGTCGTCCAGCACACTCACCTCATCCCACTACAAGGGGGGCCAGGGAATCACTGCGGGCTCAGGGCTTGGGTGGAGGGGTAGGGAAGGAGAGGGACAGGGAAGGGACAGAGCCCTTGCATTGAGACTTAAAACCAGTGACAAGCAAAGCAGGGAGAGAATGCCCTGAAATCCTACTCCGCGGGAGGGAGGGAGTTTCACCCCACCCATCTTTGCCCAGGGTTTCCTCCCACAATTCCACTCTCCAGGGAACAGGCATGTAAGTGTGGTGGGGGCAGGCTCAGAATTAGAGAGTGGCACTCACCCCACCCGGTGGGTAGGTGAGCCAGCCAATCTCAGATGTCTCTCCTGTGGTGTCCAACAGTACCTCTGCCCAGAGACAAGGAGGGCACACAGTGGCCAAGCCTCCAGCTAGCAGTGCTGGTCCCTATTACATTCCCAGTGGGGAACAAAAGAAATCCCCCCACCTTCCAGTCACTTTGCTAGCAGCAGTGCCGCTGTCTGTGAGGACCCTTTCTCTGACAAACCCATTACAGGGCCTGGTTGTCCTTCCCATGCCTCTTTTGACACCTTCACTCCTTTCTTCCTTTTTGGAATCTCTCCCACTTTCCACTGGCACTGGGTCTCTATTGGCAGACAGGGGCTCACCTGTTTCTCCTCCCTCTTACCTTCCAGGGCTATAGCTGAGGGTACCAGGAGTAGGACCCACAAGCTGCACACCATGCCCACCACTCTGCTCTCCAGCCGGGAAGGCCCCTCAGTAGCCATGAGGCATCTTCAGGGCACCCACCATTGCCCCAGCCTCCACCCTGCTCCCGGGTGGGGCTGCAGCTTTCACAACGCTGAGGGTGTATACCCAAGTTTACTTTCTGGGGAGACAACAGGACAGAGAAGGGGGTGGGAGGAGAGTGCATGTCTTCACAAACAGCCCAGGCCCCAAAACCTGATCCCACGTCCCCTCCTACAGTTCTCAACTGCCCCAGCACCAGCCATGGGACAGGAGCCAGGAGCCAGCCAGTGGGTGGCTTCTGTCCCTCCTCAGTAATTTGACTATCTTGAAGGGCCACGTGCCAGGCACTCAGCCCTGCTCCCTACATGACCTGCCTCTGTGTGTTCATTTCTCTCGCTCTCCAGTCTAGAGGTGGGGCTCATGGTAGTTCAAGGTCAGACTTACCCTTTCTTTGTGGAAGGAGTTATTCCAGTTCTTTCTCTTCATTTACTCTCCTCCCTGTCTCCAACAGCCACCTGTATTGGAAGTTAGAAAATTCTTATTACAGGAAGGCAGGTTGGAAGATACTCCATCCTTACAGATATGCAGATTTGTGTCTTCACAACACCGCTGGACCCTTGTTGGACCTGGATACTCTAGAAATTTCAGAGAGGTAGTGAAGCAGAGGGACTCAAAAAGTAACTGTGGGGTATGGCGGGAGGGAGGGAATGAGAATAAATGCAAAAAGAACACAGGAGTGAAGATCCTGTGTGATCATTGAGGCAGTGTAGGGAGGAGGCAGACAGACACAGGTCTGGCATTCACTTTGTGAACAAAGATCCTGTTTCCCCCAGGGCACATGTTTTCTTACAGTTTACAGAAGAATAAATGTGTGGCTTAAACATATGAGAAAATGCTTCTTGATTGCTTACATTGAAGGGAAGTCATATCAAAACAGCAGTGACAAGCCATTCATTATAGACTGAATATTCGTGTCTTCCCACAATTCATATGTTGAAATCCTAACCTCCAAGGAGGTGGGACCTTTGGGAAGTAATTAGGTCATTAGGGCAGAGTGCCTGCAGAAGGGATCAGTGCCTTTATAAAAAAGACACCAAAGAGTTTTTCACCCTCTTTCTGCCACATGAAGATGTAGTGAAAAGGGACCTGCCTGACCCCCATAAGAAGGCTTTTATAGGACCTACCCCTGCTGGTACCAGCCTTCAGAACTGTGAGAAGAAAATTTCTATTGTTTGTAAGCCACCTGGTCTAATTCTACCTTAGTACCACAGTCCCAACTAAGGAAGATACTGTTTTGAACCTGTAAGATTGATAGCACACTGCGTTGGAGGAGGCATGGACAGTTGGTTCTCTGTCAGACACTGTGCTTGTGTGTTTACAAGTGCTCTTGGGAGGGCAACTGGACAATATCGAGCCAGCAGCTTCACTTCTAAGAATTCGTCCTTCAGGTTCTGTCTACTTGTATTAGTTTGCAAAGAAGTTTGAACAAGGACATCAATTGTGAATTGTTTGCAAGAGAAAAGGCTATCAACTAACTGTCCACCAGTAGGAAGATGGTTAAAAAATTATGGCGCATCCTTAGAAAGGAATATGGGCAAGTGTTTATGTATTGATATGAAAATGATTTTTGAGTGAAAGTAGTACAGGAGAGCATTGTAAAGTGAGCTCCCATTTGTTAAGAAGGATATATACACATATATGAAAGAGTATTTATGTAAGAACATCCAAAACCTGTGAAAAAAGGCAAAAGAAGAGGACTGGGGCCCAGTGTAAGGGAGACTCCCTTTCACTTTATTCCCTATAATTTTACATTGAAAAAAATCTTGCATACATATTATCTTTTCAGCTAAATAATTAATTAAAAATTTCCATAAAATAGTACCTAATATGTACCTAACTATATGATAAAATTAGGCAAAATTTTGAGGGCTCATGCCTTCAAAATGATTTCTTTTAACTATGTAACAAAGTACCTCTTGTATAAAACCTTGATCCCTCAGAAGGCACAAAGCCATGGAAGGCCACCTCCAGTGTCACAAGAAAGACTGACAAGCTTGCTGCCTCCTTTGCTTGTTGACCTAGAGATTGGTGATACTCTCTCTGTCCTCGTGACTGGGTCTCAAAAGTCTGTCATTTGTGTGGACCAGAGCAGTATGATCGTTTATTTCTGTCCAGAAGAAAAACCATAATGGTTGCCTGGCTTGCTCAAAAAACATAGGATTGAGAGAGAGAGGGAAAAAAAAAGCCAAGTGAAAGAGAAGTCACAATCTCTTTTCTCCTGGACATATGTGGCCTTGTGATTCACAGTGGTATTGAAAATGACAATGAATCTGAAATCACACAATGAAACTATAATTAACTGGGATAAATATGAAATTTGATTCCTACTAATTTTATCTGGTAATGCTGGCTGTGCCAGAAGGTGTAGCCATCAGTGTTATCTCCATGAAGTTACATAGAGAGCTATCATTTCTGCAAATTCCCAGGCTGGTCAGTAGTGGGCATCTGCCATCTAGCTTATAAAATTTACCTTTCATACTTCTATAACCTTATCTGTGAAACAGAGAGTTCAACTTACAGCCTATGGAGACGAGTTAGAAGCATTTCCATATGGCAAATTGCTCTTAAGAAACAGAGGTTCTTTGCAAATACTGTCGCAAATGCTACTAAGATCATTCATAGACTAAATAAATGCTTCAGAGAAGAACAGGGAGATGATGAAGTAAACAGCATATAGCTCTTCAATTCTGTTACACTGGCACCATTGGCCATAGCTGTTTAATACCCTAAAGTATTATAATCCATGTCTTAGGTACACCCCCCACCCCCACCAAACTCTCAATGGCTTCATTTGAAGACATGCTTGACACACCAGATTTTGCCCAGAGCCACACCAGATTTTAGCCTCCACAGAGGCTTTAGGTATGCTATTATCATGAAGAAAATGCCAGCAGCAAAATTTTAAACAATGAAGACTATTTTACCATTTCCCTCAGAAGATATTCTTTAAAATAATCTCTTTCTTTGTGTCAGAATGTGGACAGATTCTGTAATCTGTACAAAGAAGACACAACAAGTGTTGCTTATAAGCCACTTGGTCTAATTGTACTTTAGTACAACAGTCCCAACTGTCTTCTCAAGCTTACAACTTGAGACAAGTCATCATGGAAAAGGAATAATAAATATTTTGGAAACATCTCAATGAATTTTTTTGACAAACAGCCAAACAATATAGAAAAGATGCACTGCAGATAGTATTGGCTGTACTATATGGAACATTCTTGAAGATGGAGAATGGCAAGATATTTGCTTTGATGACCCACAATCCAAGTCACACAGTTGCTTGTGGGTGCAACAGGGCGTGCTTACATTGCCTTAGTATGCATCTTAATGAAAACATGAAGCTGGCCTCCTTCCAGAAGAACCAGAAAAGAACAGAAGCAATTATGAAACATGCATGTTAAAGCCACTCAGCTGCTGTCAACCAGAAGCAGAAAGAAAAGAGTAAGACAGAGACACAGCCTGTGGAATGTGCCACTTTAGTTATTTTTTTGAAATTTTCCTAACAACAAAAATATTTATTAAAAAGAAATGATTAAGGATCTTAGAGTACCCAAATTGTACTTTCAGTATTTATGACAACCTCTTTTAGATTCAAATCCAGAAGACTAAACGTTATAGACAAGTTTCTTCAGATAAAAAAAAAAAAAATTGTTGCTGAGTCAGATTAGGAATTTAGGACAGGTCTAGCTCATCAAACTGATCAGATAAATTCAAGTCTTTTACTTTTTAATATATCTAAAAAAATCTGAGCATATCACTGTTGTAAGAACACAAACAAGGAAAGAGGACAACTGTATATTAGGATATAGAATAAATTGCTGTCAACCAATTCATCCCACTGCAGAGTCTTTTGAAGCAAATTTCAAAGGCAGAAACCTAAGGAACACGGTTGTTCCACATGCCTGGAATATTAAGGAAGCAGGGCTTAGAAACCTGATTTTCAAAGGTGCCTTCTGTGGTTGTGGATGTGGAGCATCTTTTGCATGCGGTGCAGGACAGCATCCCGGGAGCAGTCAGGCATATCCCTCCTGCCACTCAGACCGGAAGACGCCTGCACAAAGCCAGGCCCTGCTCCCTCCCAGCCTGCTGGAGAGTCTACGCTCTTCTCCAGCTCACCAAAGGAACTGGTCAACAAATGAAAGTGAGGAAAACTTAATCAGGAAGACATTCAAATTTCAGATGTGTATAAGGTTTTAAAAATATAAAACACCAGAAGCAGCAGAAATGCGGATGTAAAATGATAGCTCAGAAAATGATACTGATTAGACACAGTTCCCTGTGACAAAAATTGCATTCTAGGAATTCAAAATTTGTTTCTCAGCTTCTTTTCTGGATCTATCATTTAATATCTTTTTGATACAGTGCAGACAAGATCCACAAGCCTGCCACACTTCTTTGCTTTATAAGAATAAGTTTCTTTAGGCAACAAGGTTGTACTTTGTTTTCAGAAACTGGCAAAAATTAATGACTTGTAGAATCTTAGATTACAAGGCATAGCTTATGGTTTCTGTTACTGTAAAAATGAAAGATCTAAAAGTAAATTAATAAAGCTGTCAGAATTTTAAAAAAATAATTGTTTTCAAATTACATGCTAAATATGATGATTTCGTGAACAAATCAAGCTTATTTCATATAGTTTATGCACCTCCAGCCACAAAATGGATTTTTAAAAATTAAATAACTTAAGCCAAACAAGCCTGGAGAGAACTATAGCAGAAGACATATTGGGCCATTAAAATTGGTTACTGTGGGAGGCAGAGATGAAGGAACGTAGGTGGGGGGATTAACTTTGTCTTACACATATTTCAGTTATTTTTCTTGTTATAACAAGCATGTCTTATTTTTACAATTAAACAAAATCTCATAATTAAAATCTAAACAAAAAGGAAAATATTTTTAAATGCTAGACAAATATAGTGTATGTTTACATTTTGTTCCCCCTCCCCCTCTTTTCCCCTCTCGGTTTCAAAATATCCCCAAATTTTCATCTATAAGAAGTAAATAGGGATGGGAAGATAGTAGAAACTGAGATTGAATGAGTGGAACAATAGCAACAATAAAAGCAAAATAACTTTTATCCTTGGATATTCCTTAATCTTCTTCCCCAAGAAGTTGAAATTGTTCCCAGTGACCATGTCATGTTTCTCTTCCACCATGTGGAGCAGAGAACTGGGCCGGCAAGGCGGGGAGAATACAACGGAGGGAGCTGTCCACTCCCAGCACACAATGAGGGGGCATCATCACGTGAGCCCAGACAGGCAGGATTCAATGAAGCTAAGCAAGTTGTAGAGTCCATCGGGGAAAGCAATGGTCCCAAGGGCAAAGGGGCCCATGGTCTGGTTTTATTTATGTCTGCTATGGTCCTGGGCTGGTCCTCACACCTGTTTGCCACCAGGTCAGAACCACACGCTCTGTCCCCCACCCTTTTCTGCAGCTGTTAAACGCCCAGGAAATTCCAGCATAATCCTTGCTCAGCTAAATCAGCAACCTCTACCCTTCAATCTCCACCTTAGACATGTCTTCGTGCTCTGGCCTCCTGCCTTGAGAAAGGCTTTATGGTGCCATCCAGCACAGACGTTGCAGAGGCGGCTGTCCTCCATCTCCTCTATCTATCCCCTGCTGTCCTGGCTGGAGAAGCTAATTTGTGGATTACCTAGCAGAGTACAGTCCTGTGACCCTTGAGGCCTCCAGTCTCTGCAAATGTCCCCCAGAGCACTCTGACTCAGACAAATGTGCCTCCCACTCTAGGCTATGGAGATAGGGGGAGGCTTTTGAGATGCAGGCAGTGTCTAGGTCTTGCCAGATTGCTACTTAGAACGAGCCACTCTGAGCACTGACCGGGCACATGTGAGGCTCTGGAAAAGAACATAAGGGAGGGTGTCAGGCAGGAGGCAAGTGCGCAGGAGAGGTGAGTAAATGGAAGGTTGTGGGAGGAAGCCCCTGAGTGTCAGGAGGAGTACTTGCCACAGTGAAGGCCTTAGGCTGCATCTACTTGGCCCAGTGTGTAGGGAATGTGGATGGGGCGAGGTGTGCTCCTGTGCACCAGAGCGTGCACACCCATGAGATCTCTCTTACCTTTAGCCCCTGTCTGGCTGTGAGCCATACAGAAACAACTGGGTTAGAAGAGGGGGCCAGGCAGGGGAGGTGAGAAAGGGAAGCTTTAGGTTTCCTCCCCGACCCCCCACCCCTGAGCCTGTATGCTCCTTCTGCTTACCGTCGGGAGGAGGGCAGAATTCAGGGCTTAGGTTCAGAAGATAGTCATACCTGGATAGCAGCTGTCCCAGAAGGAGGATCCTCCTTTCCCACATTCAACCCATCCCATCATGTTGCTTCCTGGCATCCTGGTAACCCATTGGCCATTGCCAGCCATCTTCTTGCACCCTGAATGAACCAAGGGGACTCCAAAGGAGTCTTCCTCCCTCTGCTACAATGAAAGTACACAGGAACCTGCACCCTAATCTTCCATTCAGAAAAAAGGCCCATTGCCCTGAAAAGGCCACTGGGCCTGCAGTCAGCAAGTCTCAGTGCCTCAGGGCTCCAGTACCTGGGCAGTTCCCATGGACTACAAAGAGCCCCACGCAGCTCCTTCCTGCTGATCCCTCAGCTCAGAACCACCAATTCCTCTCCTAGAGTCTGAGTCAAGTTCCCCTGGCCAGGGGAGGACCTAGGTTAACTGAGTGGGAACAGGCCCAGCCGCTCCTCTCCATGGGCACTGCCAGGGACATTACAACAGCGGCTATGCTGGTCCCCTGCCAGCTCCCCTAGGGATGGGAGGAGAGAGGGTGCCAGACGGCCAAGATCAGTGGGCGAGGGTGTGGGGCGGGCAGGGCCAGCCACCTAGATGCAGAGAGAGAGGGTGGGGCTGAAGCAGCATCAAGCAGGAGACTTTGGTTGCAACTTGGGGGTAATGGCTGAGAAGCAGAAAGCCAGCGGCCACTCCAGCTTAGAGACTTAAATGTGGGCACAGCATAGAGGGGCTTGCAGAACCTGGGGTCAGTCAGCCTCCTGGTTCCTCCTAGCTGCGAGGGGATTGGAGTAGTACCACTGGAGCCAGAGGGATGGCTGACCCTTTTCAGAGCGCTGGAGCCCCCGGCTTCTGTGATGACACCCCCCCTCACATCAGGATCCCCAAACCAAAGCCAGAGGAGGATCTCTGGGAGCACAGTGGAAGGATCCTAACAGCAAGAGTAATGAGGTGTCAGTGATGGCTGGTGATGGGGTACCAGGTTGGCCAGGTTCTCAGCCTGGTGAATACTGCGCTGGCATTGGGGAGATATATTCAGTACTCGCCCAGGAGGGCCCCTGGGATCTGCAGAAACCCCTGATGGAAAGCTCCTTTACTTTCCAAAACCTTAATTCCTCTGTCCCCAGGCACACTCTCCCCTGACCCCCACAACGTCGTTTGCGACTTCTGGACTCACCTTCCCGCCGGCCACAGCCTCCTTTGGTCTGTGTCTCCCAAGGCCCCGCGGCGGAGCTGCTGCTCTCGAGCTTACCCGGCGCCACCTGCGTCCTCTTAGGTCCAGGGACGCCACTACCCCGTGGCCCGGGTCCCTTCGGCGCTGCAAGTCTCTTGGATTCCGGGGCTGACCAGGCACTGGCGGAGGATCGTGCCGATCCCGCGTAGCGATCGTGGTAGCCGAGCTGGGTCGCTGGTCCCGCCGCCCGCTGCTCTGGAGCGGCGGCTGGAGCAAGCGCAGCCGGGCCCGCCCCCTCCGCGATCCCTCCCAGCCCGGCCCGCCCCTCCGGCCCCTTCGGCCGCCTTCCCTCTCCTCTCTTCCGGGGAGCCGAACCCGCCCTCCCTGCCTGGGCGGCGGGCGCGCGGGGGACCGCGGGGGAGACGCAGGGCGCGCCCGGACCCTGCCTGTGTGCTGGGGAGGAGGCGGCCTCCTCCTGCTGGTCCCAGACGGGCAGATGACAAACGTGAGGGGCCTGGATGTGGCGGGGTGGGGAAGCGGCCGGATCGGAATCCCTGGGGCTCGGGCTGGAGCTTGGACACCATAGAGCGAAGCGCAACTGACGAGCAGAGCAGGACAGAAACCCGAGTACACCCCCCTCGCGCCTCCCCTGCTATTGGGCTTTAACTCTAGGAACTAAAACAGTGGGGCTCCTACTCAGCTTTGAACTAAGGTGGGCGTGAGCTGAGAAAGCGAGAAGGAAGGGAAAGCAGGGGGTGGAGGGAAAGACAAACTGAGAAATCCGGGAGGGGAGGGGAGGGGGGAGCGGGGAGGTTAGGCTGACTCTCAGGCGTCTCTGCGAAACTCTTCTCCCTTTTCGTGTCTGAATGTTGGTCACTGTCGGGGCTTCTGGCTCAACTCTCCCTGTCTCAACTCTCCCCTAAGGGTTGGTCAGCCTGGGGTTGAAAGAGGGAAGTCCTGATGCGGGGTTCATGGCTCTGACATTGCTGGGGCAAGTCGCTGCACCTCCGGGTGCCTCCTCCCTTGCCGGCTCTCCAGAGGGAATCTCCCCACGAGAGGAGATGGGGAGAGGAGGTGCAAGGTGCTCTAAGCTAATGCCTGGAGGCAGACTTAGGGAACGCAGGGGCTGCTATTAGGGAAAAATGTTTCCGCCCACCCCTAACCTTTTTTTCCCAACAGAGGACTGGATTTGGGGGTCTATTGTTTCGGCCCTGGCAGAGCTGGGTTGGGGCCTTCCCACGAACTGTTGCTACCACCTGCTGGTCCTTGCGGGGAACACAGGCACCTGGTGGAATTCCCTGTGGCCCCTTTTCTCTGCATATCTCCCTGTCCCATCTTGAGCACCTACTTCTTTCATTTATTCAAAGACATGTTTATTAAAGCACTAGCTGCAAATGAGCTGATCAAAACTGGTACTGAGGGAGCATTGAGAAACCAGGAAAATTGTGAAAGAGATCTATGCGCCAACAAGCACAGTAACAAAACAAACTCCTTAGGAGGCTCCTAAGAGACACTCCGACTTTAATGAATTGACTGAATGACTGACAGAAAGAAAGATAACTAGTCCCCACTTGGTCAGAGGTTTGTTCACTCTTAATGATATCCACAATTAATAAGCCTAATGACTCCACTTACACCGATGAATTTATAACTTGTTTCTGCCCTTTGCTCTGAAATTCAGTAATAGAGGAGGGCTGCCTTCAGACTAACGCCTTCAAAGACTTTCTTGATGAAACCTGAATTTACATGGTATCCAATATTATATAATCACTATAAAGGGTATATTAACCCTGGCCTGATTGCTAGAAATCTATGGCTATATTGGAAATCTAAAAACTAATAACAAAGCATATAAGTAAATTATTGCTTTAAGATAAAGTACCCCAAACCCCAAAACATAGATGTTATTTTACAAAACCCAGAAATTCCAGTAGTTTTGCAATATAGCATGTACTGATATTATTGTAAAAACATCTGTACTCCTTTTTATTGCATGACATATTTCATATTAGGCGCCTATAATTCAAATTAAACTTTTACTGTTCAGGTCTTCTGTAATGAGTTTTTTCCTCATGTTCATAAAATTTGAGAGGCATCTAGTTTTCAAGGCCTTGGCCATCGTACGTAGGATGCAGACAGGTTTGAGACTACAATTGGCCTGGTATCATAATTTCCTATGCATGATCAAACCAAGTTTTAGTGGTAGGTGGATAACACAGGATGCATTTTTAAATTATGCTGCAATCTGAAGCTATTAAAAAACAAGGTAATGAATTCATTTCTGAAGTTGAACATACATCTTTGTTCTAAGTTTTTTCAATGGCTGGCACACATTTAGGTGCTTGGCAGTGTTATAGAATGAGTAGATAAAACACAATATTTAAACTTGTTTTGTGCTGAAGGGTAGGACCTAATAAGGTTTGCGGCTCACAGAATTCATTATCTCTGGCACACAGTAATCTATAATGTAAATGTGGAACTGAAAGGAACTCCCCAGTAGAAAACTCCAGGTGGGATACAATGACTCCTGGACTGATTCTGTCTCTCTTTTATTTCCCCCCTGGAGTTTGTGCCTCCTTCGTTGGGCTCGTCGGTCTTCAATTTCTATCACTCCCCTAGGGTGTGCAATTTTATTCTTCTTTATTTCCCTTTAGAACTGATGCAAGCTGATGTTATTATAAACAAAAAGCTTTATAAGTAATTTCTGTGATAAGAATTCTAGTGAAAAGCAACAGAGGAATCTCCTGAGCCTCAGATCCCTTATTCCAAAACATAAGTTATAGGGACCAGTGGGTGATCACACAGGTGCCCAGGTCCTTGATCGAACTATGTTGAGACCCTGTGTCCTCAAGGTGGAGTTCTACATCCCAAAAGCTGGAATCTGGTCATCAGACATTTTGCCAATAAAAGTGTCAAATGCCCATTCATACAATTACAACCCACTTCTGTTTAGAAATTTGTAGAATGTTCTAGAATTTGCCTATGGTTTATTTGAAAGACAGAAGTTTACCCAAGACAGCCTTACACTTTGATATTACTTTAACCAAGCCATAACACAAAGGTATTCAGAAGCATTGGTACACGAAGAGAAAGAGGATGGCTCTTTTCTTAGTTAGGATTTGGCTTCAGCTCCATATAACAGAAAAGTTGTACGACAATGATTTAAACAAATGAGTAAACTCAGGAAAACTATGAAGGCTGCAGCTCAACAAGACTCCAACTTTAGGATGAGGGCTTGTTCTCAGGTTCTTAACGTGTCAGCTAGAGCTGCAATTATAATGTTTATGAATTTCAGGCAAGAAAAGAAAAAGGGAACAGAATTAAGGAGATACATCCTGCTGAATTAGCACTGGTAAAGAATCTTTCTGGAAGCCCTAGCCAGTGACTTCTCCTTATATATTATTGGTCAGGATTGTGTCGCCTGACCACTTCTACCTGTAAACAACCTATGAAATACACCTACAAGCTGTACTAAATAAAATTAAAACTCCTAGTAAGAGAGGAGAAGAGAAAGAATATTAAGAAGGCAACCAGTAGTCTCTGCCACCAATGAGATAAAATGATGCAGCAATCTACATCTTTCCTTGCAACCAGCAAAGATAGAGTTTTTTAGTAGGACATCCTTGCTTTTCCCCCTAGACCATCATCTTTAATATACATTTTTAATGTTCAATGATAGTTCCTAGGAAGTTAGTAGAGTGAACAGAAATGCTAGGAACTTCTCTTTAAAATGACTATGACACCATCTCTGTAGAAAAATAACAAATCCTCTGCAGTCACTAATGTCAACAGTTAGAGTTAAAAACAGTCTAGATTTTAATAAGATTTTTGGCAGTGCTCATCTGCAGAACAGAATCGATAAATACTCCACACCACTCTCTGCTTTCCCCCCGGTCTTTATCTTTTCAAGCCCAGACAGAACTTGTCTTAATATTCTTAATGAGTTAAAAGGAGATACGGAAGCTATTTTAAAGGGCCAGTGGCAAAAGGGAGTTAAAAAAAAAGAAAAGCACAAGTGCCAACATAAAACCTCAGCTCTTTGGAAAAGTGGCTTCAAACTCCAGGAAATACAAACTAGTGAAATACAAAATAAGCCATTGATTTTCATCGGGTCTTTAAATGGCTTGAAACTTCAGGAAACACAAACTAGTGAAATACAAATAAGCCATGAGACATTCATGATATTCGACATAAATAGATCAATTTTTAAATAACAAAGAAAGTTAAAGGTCTGAAAAACACAACAGGGAATTTTGACCTTAAAATAACAATAATTCCAGAATGAAAAGAAAGATTCAATATACTTGACCTTAAAATAACAATAATTCCAGAGTAAAAAGAAAGATCAAATACACAAGAGGGAAAAAAGCACAAAGATAAAACTAAAGAAATTTATTTATTTATTTAAAATTTTTTGAAACACTTTCTCTCTGTCGTTTAAGCTGGATAGAGTGCAATGGTATCATCACAGCTCATTGCAACCTCAAACTCGTGGGTTCAAGCAGTTTTCCTGCCTTAGGTCCTTGAGTAGCTAGAACTACAGCTGTGTCCTCTCGTGCCTGGCTAATTTCTCTACTGTTTGTAGAGATGAGGATTTGTTATGTTGCCCAGGCTGGTCTCAAACTCCTGGCTTTAAGTGATCCTCCTACCTTGGCTTTCTGAAGTGCTAGAATTTCAGGTGTGAGCCACTGTTCCTGGTCAGTGAATGTTTATTGAATAATTGAATAAACTGAAAAAATTCATGAGACTGAATTTTTTTTTTTTTGCCATATTCTAAGTAAAATCAATAATCAGAAGTCAGTGGGAAAATATGTTTCAGTAAATACTTTCCAGTCAGTACCTTCTCGGTTTACACATGTGTGTGCATGCACAAACACACACATACAGAGTTTACTTTTAACAGGAGTTAAAATCTACATAAATTCATATTTCTTCCCTGCGGCATCAATTAATGAGAATAGAGGAGTAACGCTCAGAGTTTTCAGAAGAAATGGATGACGTAGCACTATTGACTTGCTCTCAGAAACAATTCCTCACTCTCCGTTACCTCAATTTGAAGCTGAAAAGCTAAATCTATCTCTTCCTATCCTTATTAACAGTTAGGAGTGCATATGAGACTTAATTCTGGTTCATTCCAAGAAATGGATAATCCTGCTGTAAGCATTTCTGAGAAAGTTTTTGGATTTCTGA